AAGTTCAGTGTGTGGTGAGGCCTATTTCCTGGCCCATAGTCAGCTGTCTCCCCTCTCGTCCTCACATGACCGAGGGGTGAGGGAGTGCTGGGGGCCTCTTCTATGCGGACACTGGTCCCATTCATGTGGCTCTGGCCTCATGACCTAATCATCTCCCAAAGGTCCCACCTCCCAACACCAAAATGTTAGGAAATAGGTTAAACATATAAATTTGGGGATGAGCACAGATATTAAGTCCATACCATTGGGCAAAGAGGACTCTGGGGGTAGGAAGGTTGATTCCAGGCAAATGAAACAGGGTCACCTTTGAAGAACAAGAAAAAGAGGCTCCACCTGGTTGGAGTCTGGGGCCGAAGGAAGGAAAGATGAGGAGCTGGGAGGGGCCGGGGCAGGGATTCTGGGTCCCGGCTGCAGCTTGGGTCAGCACCGATGCCCAGTTCCCACCCTCAGGTGGTTTAAAAGCTCCCCCCCACCCCCAGCTGATTCCAATGTATGGCCAAGGTTGAAAGCACCGATGAGATCCTGCAGGATCTCTTTAGCCCAGCTGACGCCTGGAATCTGCTCTTGGCGCAGCGGGGCGTCTCGAGGATTGATGGAAGGAAGGAATATAATCGGATTTTTCTTTCTTCGGGAAGATTAGCTGCTGGGTGGACACAGGAATGCAGTGGAAGAACTGGGGCGAAAGACACTGTTAAGATGGAGGCTCTGGGGTCCAGGTGAGGAAGGGAACCGGTGGTAGAATGGGGATGACAGGAGGGGGGCAGATCCGAGGCCTGGGAGACAAGGGACCGGAGGGGGCTGGGGCAGAGACGGAAGGGGACGCCCAGATTCCTCTCTGGGGCAACTGTGTCAACAGGCGGCTCAAAACTTTGGAAAAGGCTGCAGGTTCAGGTACAGACCTAGGAGTCAGTAGCCGAGAGCACATCACTGCGTCCAGAGGAGGCCGGGCTCCCCAGGAAGAGCTGTGAGGAGGGGACAGGGGAGCCTCAGCTAAGCCCGGGAGCGCTAAGCCAAGGGAGGAGCTGGCCGGGGGAGGAAGGGAAAGCTGTCAGCGGCTCCGTCAAGAGGCCAAAGATGTGTTCCTGAGAGTCTGGCTCCGCTGAGATGCAGCCACCGCCACCGGCGACCTTGACCCCGAGCAGGGAGGGAAGCGCAGAGCGGAGCTGCGGGGACAGCGGCCAAGCCCCCGCTCTGTCTCCCTCACATGCTCCCCGAAAGTGTTACTCGTGTCATAAAGGCTTTGTGATGAAGCCCTTGAGGAGCTAGACACCGTGTCCAGAGCTGTGGATAAGATGGCAAGGCCTCGGGGCCCCCGCTCGCCGGAGGAGACAGATAGTCTCAGCCGAGTCACAGCCCCGGGTGCTGGAAGTGCCACAGGGAGACGTGGCGGGGGGTGGGGGGGGTTAGAATGAGCAGGACCCATCGCACCAGGAAGGAGAAGGGTCGGGCAGGACAGGTCCTGGCAAGCCAGGAAGAGGCAGAGGTTTGCAGGGCCTGGCTGTCCCGGGCCCCCCCAGGCAGAGTTCAGATCTCAGCCTGAAAGGGAGAAAAGCACCTCCTGCCTGATGGGGGGTTGGGGGGGCGGGGGGAGGGCATTGACTGGCTCTGACCCGTGAACGCAACTCTACAAATGTATGTCCTGCTGTTGGGAAAACAGGGGGCCGGCGGAGAACTTCTCTTCTGTCTCCTCCTCACTTGCTTCAGCTCAAACTAATCCCCATGCCCAAGCAGCATGTCGGGGGGGGGGGGGGGGTCGTGTATTCTGCTACCCTGAAGCAGTTTTTTTGTTATTTTACCGTGGCTTGCTGCTGTTACAGCCCTTGGTTCTCCAGGTGTGGTCTCCAGACCAACAGCATCTGTTTCACCTGGTTGGAAAAAGCAATACAAATTCCCAGGCCCACCCTGAACTTACTGAAGCTGAAACCCGGGATGGGGCTCAGCAATCTGAGTTTTGCAAGCCCCCCTGGGGACTCTCCTGCCCACTCAGGTGTGAGGCGGCCTGCCTAGCTGGTGCTGATAGGCTCAGAAGGGAGAGTAGAAGGAATTAGAATTGATACAGAAGGTCATTCTAGTAAACTTGAAAACACTGAGCAAGAAGACCAATTAAATGAGGAGGCTCTTCACGTCCTAGGCAAGAGTTTTCAAGAAAAAAATCTGCTGTGCTCATCGCGACAGACTGGGCCTTCCTATCCAAATGGCCCAGACCATGTGACCGTGGGAATGATCTCCTGCACAGCACATCCGAAGAAGGCCCCGCTGCAGAGGGGGTGTTCTGAATCCGGCCAGATCTAGGGCCTAATGTCCACCCAGAAATGCACTTTCCACTTGTCCCCAGGGCCTGCTTGCACAGAAAATGTTCCCGAAGCCTCTGAGTCTGAAAGGTACAGAAAACCCTATTCTTGTTTTCTCAGGCTGAGTCAGGAGGGCAACAGAGGAGGCCATTTGGTAACAGGCACTATTTAAATGAAGGAACGAGTACAGTTTCAATTGAATGGCTTTTTAAACTGTCAAATAAAAAGAATCCATTTGTGCATGTGAAATTATTCCAGGGGCTCTAACTATGAACTGAAAGCAGGTGAAAGATGTCAAAAAAAAGAGAAATTCTCGATTACAGAATGGGCTGAATGTTTAAGGACAGACACGGAGGGACTCCTTGGGCCTGTTTTGGATCCAAAAATTTCTCTTTTCACCGGCCCTTGGTGAGCATCTTGGACAAATGTTTTAAGATCACATCCTCGTCACGAGGTGCCTCTGTGCCTGTGGGAGTGGCTGTAACCAGCACGACCCTAATGCTGTCCTGGGCATGGGACCACAGCCTATTAGCACTTGAACTTTTTCTTCTTTAGCTTAAATGTGATGCCAGGGATCCTCGGCTGGCTTTCCAAGTGACATATTTAGCACAGTATTATGATCCTTTCTTTGTTATTGAGTGCATCCATACGCAGCCTAATTAATAAGAAGAAAATTCTGTAAACGAATGAAAAGTGTCTTATCCATCACCGGCAGGCATGCTTGGTAGAAGAGACCAGAACGGAGACTGAGCCTCCATGAGAAGGAGCCTCTACCGACAAAACAGAACCCTGGGCTTGCTGCACAAGGCCAACCCCCGCCTTTTCCATTGCATTTCCTCTAGGGGTTTCCACTGCAATTAGTCTTGTGTTCATGCCTTCAGTATCTTTGTGGGTACTGAAACGGGGTTGCTGAAAATAATTAGCCAGCCTCCTCCCTCCCCTGGCCCTCCAGTACCTCATACCTGTGTCGCTGCGCCAGGCTAACACAAGCAAAATTATCCCTGTGAACGCAGCCCAAGGGGAGCCATGCAGATGATGACCTGCTGGCTGGAGGCACCGGGGTTGCCTTGAAAGGGCCACGCTTCTCACACCGGAATTTGTGCACACGAATCTCCAGGGCAGTCTTGTTAAAAACGCACATTCTGACTCCGTAGGTCTGGGCTGGAACCTTAGAAGCTGCATTTCTTGCAAGCTCCCAGGCAATGCTGCGCGGCTGCTGCAGGCCACACGTCCAGCGGCCAGGGCAGAATGCTTTGTGCACAGCAGTGACTTTTAGAGCAGCCACTGCTGAGGAGCCATTTTGGTGAGGGTCTGGCTCCCCTCTGATGCGGGTTCCTTGAAAGCCGGGGCTGGGCATTACACTTTTTTGGTGTGTGGATGTTTTGTTTTGTTTTCTGGCTGGTGCTTGGCACAGGTCCCTGCACGCGGTGGGTGTGTATTTATTTAATTAAACAGATCTGGCCTCGTTCCAAAAAGGATTTTAAGTGGACTTAACCCCTAGCAAGTCCTAGCCAGGTGCGAGATGAACCGGCCTGGGAAGGAAGTCAGCGGCAGGGGCGCCACAGACACTCTCCACTGTCCCCCGGGACCTTCCACGAAGGCCCCCGCCGCCTGCGCGTGCCCACATTACACCCCCAAAGCCTGCGCGCGCCCAGATTACACCCCCAAAGCACTTCTTTGGACATTCTCCCTCCTACCCCATCTTCAAAGCGGGTTTCACTAGGAAGCCGGCTGGAGACAAGGAGGAAAAACCCAAACCCAACCCGAACCAGACAGCTCTGCCAAGCGCTCAGGTCTCAGTGCATCAGAAGCTCAACACCCGGCAGCCGCCCCGCACACTCCCGCGTCTCCCCCGCCCGGCGCCCCCCGCGCCCCCCGCGCCCCCCGGCGCCTGCAGCAGCGGGTCCCGGGCGCAGGCAGCGGCGCGGGGCCGGGGCAGCCGGGGTGCGAGCTCTGCCCGCGCAATTGCTCCCCGGGCGCCTCCCCGGCCCGGGCGCGGGTGGGGGCGCGGGGGCGCCCCGGGGGTCGTGGGGAGCCGGGGAAGCGCCGGGATTCCGGGCGGCGGGCGGCCCCGGGGCAGCGGCGAGCGGGGGGCGCGGGGGGCGGCGCCGCGGGTCACCAGCCGAGCCTCGCGCGCGGGGGAGGAGCGCGCCGCGGGGGCGCCCCCGGGGAGGAGCACACGTGCCGGGGGCGGGCGCGGGCGGGCGGGAGGCGCAGGGAGGCGCCCGGCCTCGCAGACGCAGGCGCCGGCAGCGCGAGAGAAAGTTCCGAGGCGCGCCGGCCCCCCGGAGGCCGACGTCGGTGCCCCGCGGCCAGGCTCCAGCTCCGCGCCCCGCGCGCCCCCCTCGCCGGCGCCGCGGTCGGGAGGCAGCGGCGCGTCCGGGCCGGGGCCGCCGCCGGACTTGCCGGAGGATGCGGCGGGCGCGCGCGGGGCGGCGCTGAGAGCGGGGGGCCCGACCCGCCGCCGGCCAGGAGACCCCGCCGCCGCGCCCCTCCTCGCGGGAGCCATGGAGCGCGGAGCGCGCCCCCCGCGCGCGGGACCCTGAGCCCCGGCGCCCCCGCCGGCCCCCGCCCGCCGCCCCCCGCGGCATGAGGCGGTAGCCGAGCCCGGAGCCCGTCCCCGAGCCTCGCGCCGGCTGCAGCCTCCGCGCCGCGCCCGCAGATCGCGCCGGGGCGCCGAAGCCCCCCCACTCCGGCGGCCGCGCCGGGATGGCGCCCCGCGGGCCCCTCCGGCCGCGCAAAGTTCGCCGGCGGCGGGAGATGCTGCCGCGCCAGGTCGGCCTCGTGTGCGCGGCGCTGGCCCTGGCGAGCTGCGCCGCCGGCCTCCTGGGGAGCTCGGGTAGGTGCCCGCGGCCGGGTGGGGGCTGGCGGGACCCGCGAGGCGGCCCCGAGGTGCGTCCCCCCTTCCCCGGCGGCGCCCCGGGCCCCGCGCCGGGCGGGCAGGCGGGGCCCCCCGGGAGCTCCGACCCCGACGCGCGCCTAGCGCCTGCTCCCCGGAGCTGCGCGGCCCCCGGGGGCCGGGGCGCGGCGCGGGTCTGCGTTACCGAGACGAGAGCCGGGGCGCCGGCCGCTCGGTGCGGGCTCTGTCCGGGGCGCGGGGAGCGGGGCCGCCGCGGGTCCCCCTGGCCTGGGCGCGCGAGCTGGGCGCCGCCGTCCGGGGGCGCGGGGCGGGGGGAGGCTGGGGCGCGCCTCCCTGAAGCCGGGGAGCCCGGGAGCCCGGGCTGAGGACGCTGCGTCTCGCCCCTCGCTGGCCCCCGCCCAGGCCCGGAGGTGCCCGCGCGTCCTGACAGCCCTAAAAATGGGGGGTGGCTGCCGTGTCTCGGCATCGCTTCTCCCAACTCCTGCTCGCGCCCACGGGTGCTCGGGGGACGCGGTGTCCGCAGCCGCGAGCCTCAGTCCTGCGCCCGAGAAGGGACCCAGGGACTTTGGGAGCTGCTTAGTGTAGGGTGATCTGAAGTGGCCAGAAGAAGAAACTTACAAAGAAGATTGGGGGGTTTTGGGGGGGCGGCTGGGGGAGGGTGATAGGAGCCCGGAGGAGTCCTCGGAAGACATTTACTTGGTTGACATTCCCCTTCCTAGGTGGATTCTGGGGACCATCTAGTTCTTCACATTTAAAATGTGAAAGAAATGCAGGTGATTTAGCGACCTGGACATGGAGAGAAAGTGGGTGCCTTCTTGAGCCGTCCAAAGGGACGGTCGGGAGAGGATTTATGATGATAGGTAAAAGGCACATGGAACTTGATTAAATTTAAAAACGCACAGCCCGTCAGAACTCAAGCTGTGTGGCTGGAGAATATAAGGTTAAAAAGTGACTCTTTGCAACAGAAACCCAGAAAGCTTCCCGGCGCATCGTCGTGCTGGACGCCTTTGCAGTGGGGCAAGTCGGTGTGTTTTCCCCCTTCAGTTACACACCAGAAATAACAAAATACCTAGAGGCTCTTGGGTGTCAGCTCTGTAGACGGGAGATTATTACCGGCTGGAGCCGTGTGCACCGGAGAGAGAGGTAAATGAATACTCTGAAGGTCTTAAGTGAGGATCGTTTTTATTTGCTAGACCAGGAATTACCTTTCGGAGTTTATGCCTGGTGGCTGGCGTCCGCGCCCGAGATCTCCCTCGCCACTCAGGATGGCCCTTCAACTCGCAGCATCAGCATCACCTGGGAGCTTGTTAGTGCAGCATTCAGGTCCCAGCCCAGATCTCCTGAATCAGAATCTGCATTTTAACAAGGTCCCCGGGCGATTGTGTACACATTCAAGGGCGAGAAGCCGGTCCGTACCCCATCAGCCGCCTCCTGGCTTGCTGGCTGACGGTCCACCTGTAGTTCCTGCAGGGCAGAGACACCTGCGCACGTTTCCTGGGCCAGAGCTTAACGATCGCCCTTCGTTGCGCCAGTCTTGGCCGATGCCACGTCACGTGCCGCACCAGAAACAATGAGCTAGATCTGGGAAACGTGACTGTGTAATGTCAGCAGGTGAGACTGTGCTTCCCGCCCTTGTAACACTCCCTGCAGGTGACTGTAAATCAAACAGGGCTGCCGCTGGCAGAGCTAGACACATATGTGAGGTCGCTGTGAGAACACAGGCACTGCCTGGACCTAACGGTGTCTGGGCCTTGTTTTCCAATCCAGGGCACAAAACACTGTCTACCAGCAAACGTGTCCTGCCAGACGCATGGAGAAGCAGAAGGCTGATGGCACCTGTGAATGGGACTCAGGCAGCTAAGAACTGCACAGATCCTGGTAAGAAATCGATTCTCCCCGCCCCCCACGCCGCATGTGGCCTGGAGACGGTGCTTAGGTGGACAGTTAAGCCTGAGTGGTGGCTTGACGAACCTGAGTGGGCAGGGGTGGCTGCCAAGGCCTCGGGAGGTAATGAACAGGCCTTAATCAGCGGTGCTGCTAAGCAACTCAAGTACTTTCTTTTATCCAACAATTGAAAAGGTCACAGTCAAGAGTTTTAAAATTTCATCTTCTTCTCACAATGCTTCTAAAGGCAAAGTGTTTCTCCGCAGTCCTGATGCTTGTTGGCTGCGGTGGGGGTGGCTCTTGCCCTGTTGCTCACGATGCCCAGCTGATGGCACTCTAGGGGCAGGACATGCAGCCACTCCGGCAGGAGGCTCTTCGGGACAGCGTGCCTGGGTCTCCTCCACGCACCACAGCTGCAGCAGGGGCTGCTCGTGTGGGGTGCTGGGGCCCCTTCTCTGGAGTGGGAGTTCGTGGGGTGTCCTTTTAGTTTGGGAAATGACTTCAGCTTGCCTGGAGACAGCCTCCATGTCCCTCTTCAACATCTCAAGGGAGTTGCGGGGACCAGATGCTACATCTCGTCTGTCTTCCGGCCACGGGCAGGTCTGGCTTAAATGGGTGAAGGAGGTTGTCAGGGTGGCACGCCAGTGTGCAGTGGGGCAAACAGAAGCTGCCCAGGCCTCACGTAGGGCAGCCCTGCACTGCATCAGCTCTGGACCCAGCCCTTGGGGGTCTCTGTGAGAAGGATCCAGTGGGACAGTGTTTTTAAAAGCCCTTTGGGAACAATGAGGCTTTATTACAATAGGTATTTTACTATAGTCGGGCACCGCTTAGCTTCCCGCTGAATTCCTGTCAATCACATCAGCTTTCTTAGGTCTCTGTTTTCTCACCTGTGCAATGGGTGGGGTAGTCCCTGCCGGCTCCAGGGTTATTGGGAGAATCTGGTGCTGCCCCGAATGCGGCCATGTGTGAAAGGAAACAAAGACCCCCAGCAGCAGGGCAGGATTGAAAGGGGGGCGTTCATGTGTCCTATTTTCCTCTGGAGGCCTTATCTGCCATTGATGGGTCAGGAAAGGTCTAGAAAGGACGCGGAAGTTGCTCCATATCATAAAACTTGTAAGTGGGGAAGCTGACACTGGAACATAGGCCTGTGGGGCCACACTCTGTGGTTGCTTCCATGTGCTCGAGGCCAGGGCCTTCCCCCAAAGCCTGTTTCCCACGCCGTCCACTTCCTTCTTTTAAGTACCTGGCGCCTTGAAGGTGGGCAGGCGCGGGCTGGCAGAGAAGCCGCTGGGGTTCCCTGAAGACTTTGCACCACTTGTCTCTGGGAATCCCTCTGTCCTGGCGACCCTGCAGTGCCTGCGTCGACCCCCCACCCCAGCACACCTTTCATCAGCCGGAAGTGGGGGATGTCCCTGCTGACCGTCAACATGTGTGAGGCCCGGGCTAATGTTGGGGTCCCTCCTCGCACTTCTGAGTCCTCAGATGCTGTAATTTGCACCACTTGCAGGGGAACATTTTGCTATTCTGGGTAAAGAATCAAGTTTAGTGCATGTGGCCTGATCTCCAGCTTGCTGGCACCCCTCTCTCGGCCTGGCTCTCTCCTCCTCCCAGAACTTCTGTGGCGTCTAGTCTGGGTGTGTCAGCTTGGACGGCGCCTGCTCCTCAGGATGGCGCTTTCCCGTGCTCCATTGCTGCCCTGCGTCTTCAGGGTCTGGCCAGTGTCCCCACCAACTAAGGAGCCGTCGGTCCTCATTGGCGGGCAGTCTGGCTGTGCCCCCTCGCCCACCCCTCGATGAGAGAAGAAACAAGATCTTCTGCACTAGTAAGAGTTTCCATGCGCCCCGCGTGGCGTGTCCAGGCTGGTGCCCCTCCCCCCCGTGGGACTCAGGAGGTGTTGGCTGGAAGTGAGTTTTGATTATTGAACATTTTAATCCTTCGTGTTTTCTGCAATCAAACAACCAGAGAAAGAACACATTTAGTTTCTTAGGAAGTTGAGTGACTTCTCAAGGTCCCTTGCCTGCGGGCGTGTCCCTGACCCCGGACCCCGTGCCTGCCAGCCCCACCCCGCCGCGGAGGGGCTGAGCGCCCACTTCCAGGGTCTCCTGAGGCCCTGAGCCCACCTGCCTCCGTTTCATTCCATTCCATGGCGCAGGTGAGCTGCGGTGTCTGGCCCTGGCGGGGAGGAGGCTCGTGTAAGCAGCAGCCCTTCCTCCTCCAGCGGGGCCCAGCCCAGCGCAGCAGACGGGCCCCGGGCCCGGGGAAGACTCTGTCGTGACGCGGGGTGGCAGAGTCCCCCAGTCAGCAGCCCCACGCTGCAGGGCAGAAAACACCCCCCGGCTGGGGTCAGTAGAAGGGGCTTGGTCGGCTCCGTCACTTAACTCGTGGGCGCGAAGGTGAAGGGTGTGTTGCCGCAGCTGCTCCGTCTCCGCACCCGGCCGTGCTCGCGTGTGGGACGGTGCCTAGTGCGGCGCCCGAGTCTGGGACCCAGCGCCCGGGGCTGATCTGCTTCTGCAGACGCCCCAGTTGTCCTGGCTATGAGTCACATGGCCCCCCTAAGTCAGGTCCCCCGATCTTGGCGGTGGGCCCATCTCGTGTGTTTCAGCTGAAGTGCCCCCTCCTCACCCCGTCCCGTGATCCTGGGTTGCTCTTAGGACAGTGACTTGCTCGTCGTTCGTCCGCCCCTGGCTACTGTGCTCCCTACTCTGTGCTCAGAAGAATGGTTCCTAACCCTGGCGGCACCTTGGGATCACCTGAATTGCCTTAAAAATGCCCCAAAGTGTCTGATTTTGTTGGCCTGGAATACGGCCCAGAAATCAGTGCTTTAAAAGTTCCCCAGGCAATTCCAAACTGAAGCCAGAGCGGAGGCTCCCCAGGCCAGAGCCCTGTACCCAGGAGCTTGTCAGGACTGTCGAGCCTCAGACCTACCCCACACCTCCCGCTGGATCAGAACCTGCATCCTAGAGATACCCCTCGGCAGGTCAGCTGCTCGCCAGAGGCTGAGCCGCTCGCCAGGACTCTGCCTGCCACTTGGTCAGAGTTCAGTGAGTATTTGAATGTTGAGTGAAAACTGAAACTTGGTTGAACATACAGTGTCTTTTTTTTTTCCTTTTCTGAAAACCAGTTTGGTTTCTTTTTTTTTTAAGATTTTATTTATTTGTATAAGAAACAGAGTACAGGTCAGAGGCGCGGGAGGATGAGAGGATACACCAGAGACAGAGCGGGGAGCAGAACAGGCAGACTGACGAAATACACTGCTGGGGGGAGCAGCGGGTGTGACAGGAGAGGTCTGCCGTGCCATGTAGCAATCTCCCTGGCCAGCCGGGAATCGAACCCGTGCTGCAGAGGCTGTGGACAGCTTCACAGTGCGGTGCTCAACCCACTATGCCACTGGGGAGGCCCCAGTTTGTTTTCTTTGTTCAATATGGGGACACTAAAAGGAATCTGCTTTATTTCTGACTACTGATGTCTACAGAAAAGTCACAAGTTTATCTTCCCCCAAAGATCTGGGCTTCTAAGCCTCAGATCTTTATTTCATGGTCTGTGCAGAGCAAGCCCTAAAAAGGGGAGTGGGTCGTCTATTGAAAGGGCAGGAAATAAGAATGAGAGGCTGTGACTTAGAGTCCCTTGATAATGTCGGAGCTTGGCTGTCATAACAGAGTACCATTGACAGAACAGATATTTATTTCTCAAGTGCTGGAGGCTGGGAAACCCAAGATCAAGATGTGGGCCACCTGTCCCTGGTGAGGACCTGCTCCCTGGCCTGCAGACAGCTGCTTCTCACGGTGTGCTCCTGTGGTGAGCGACAGCATGATGTGCTTATAAGGGCACTAATCCCATTACGGGGCCCCAGCCTTTGACTTCATCTAAACCGAATTACTTCCCCGACACCCACTTCCCAAAACACAGATACCTGGACTAGCTCCAGCCCTTGAAATCAGAACCCATAATGGACAAGCCCTGCCCCAGAGTTCTTTGCGCTTCTGGGAGCCATGCCTTACCAGGTCATCCATGGCAGGTTTCTTGGCATTGCAGCAAGAAGGGGAAAACCTGGGTTGCTTTTTACAACCAATGTGTGTGCTTCACTTTTTCCTTCTGTAAAATGGGAGTGATAATTGCATCCACCTTGCAGGGTTGTTAGAATTAAATGAGTTAATCTTCATCAAGTGCTTACACACACGTGTGCTTGGCACGTAACACATGCTCCCACACCGGCTTCCATTTTCATGATTACATTCATACCTGCTTAGCCCAGAGATAACGCAATGCCTGGGTGTAGTAGGTCCTGGAAAAGCCATGCCAATTGAATTTTAGGAGGACAGGTTAAGAAATAAATACCTTTTTCTTTTCTGGAAGTCAATTTCTTGTTTTGATTTTTATTTTTGAAGATTTAGGAGGCTGGAGGTTGGCTTGCCTTGTCAGACTTACCTTTAAGTAGCAAGACTGTTTCTTGTCTCTTGTGTTCATTTCCATTTTGGCTGTTTCGCTGGGGTGGCCCTGACCTCCCCCATGCTTACCTGCCTTTCCCCGGTACTGGAGAGCCAGTAAGTGGTCTGTGTCATCCTGTTTGTCAGGGTTCCCAACATCCCAAGATGATGTTTAGAAAGGAGAGGAGAGGCTCTACCTCCCTGGTGAATTTGGAGGGATTTGCTTTGTCGTGTTTGGCTTTCAGCTTTCATGTATGTCTTATCAAATGCCTGGAGGCTCTGTGTATTAACTTGGGTGGCAGGAACAAGATATCATGGACTGGGGGCTTAGACAACAGAAATGCACTTGTCCACAGTCTGGAGGCTGGAAGTCTGAGCTGAGGGTGGTAGCCTGGCTAGGTTCTCTTGAGGGCTCTCTCCCTGGCTTGCAGAATGGCTGTGTCTTCTCTGCCGGGTGAATGAGTGAGAGCATGCTCTCTCCTTAGAAGGCCGCTATCCCATCAGACCAGAGCCCCACCCTCATAACCCATCACCAGCTCCCATGACCAGCACAACCTGGTTTAATGTGCT